ATAGGGGGGAAAAATTCAAACTTCTTGGATGGTAGGTTAAGATGGTTCAGATCATCACCATGGAATTCTCACAATTCTATTTTGGGTAACTAACATATATAAGTATATGTTTGAGTAGATCTGTTGGAAAGTACATGTACATTCCCATAAAATGTGGGAAATGGACAATCCATTTATCATGTTGGAGATGGACAATCCATTTATCATTAAGGTATCCAAAAATCAGAAGTGAAGTATTTCCTTTTTTTTTCTTCCCACCAAGTAACACATCGCACCTGGTCAAAATGGTTTTGCACAGATATACACTTAGGGGGTGTTTGGCAATCTGAAAGTGAATTTAAAATATGTAAGTTACTTTTTTTTGCAAATGACTTTTACATCCATGTCAGCACGCAAGTCAAATACAGTGTTTGTTTGAAAAATTAAATTATTATCGAAAGTGCAATAGGAAGATAACGTGGCAAAATAAGATTAATTAGAAAGTATAATTAAAATCATTTAATTAAATTAGTTACCTTTTTGTCACTTTCATGTGACTTCACCACTTTTTTAGGGGAAGTCAAAATTACATTAAATCATATGTGGCAACTTTCTTGCATCTCACTTTCATAACCACTTACATGAAAACAAACACCTTAATTGTTAAATGAAAGTAACTTTCTTACTTTCATCTTTCACTTGCATGCAAACAAACACCCCCTTAATGTGAATGATGGAGTCACGTGGGGGGGGACCATAAGATCCAGCGGTTTTGAGAGGCCACAAATTCAGCAATGAAGCGTTTTCAAACCACACACCCGATTGTTGTGCTGCAGCTATATATATAGCCTTTAATTGGTCATCTAGGTTTTAGGTGTGCAAGTGCAAGGGGTGGAAAAAGCGGCGTACAGGAGGAGAAAACAAAACCGCAGAGGTGCAAGGGGAGAACGCAGAGCCGCCGCCGACTTTGAGAGGAGTTTTGTGTAGTCTCTTGTACCTATTTTGAGAGAGGAATTGAGAGATTAGATTGAGAGTTTAATTTGTGAGAGTTTAATTTGTGAGAGTTGTGTGATTGTAAACTCATTTGTATTCTTTTTCTCTCTAATTGTAAATCCCCCCTCTTTGCTCCGTAGACGTAGGCAATTTGCCGAACCACGTAAAACTTGTGTGATTTGCTGTTTGTGGCCATTGTAATAGTTTATTTGGTTCCCTCGACAGGTCAGTCCTAGAACTGATGAGAGGAAAAGCTGATATCTCACTTTGTTAAGATATTCGCTTCAGATTCTTATTTTATTGGTGAGACGGGAATTCTTATTGCGATCTTTCTCTTTTATTGTGCACCAGAAACTCTGTCGAAATTTCCGCTACGCGCAACAGAACAGACATCAACTTTCAATCCCAATACCTGACCTTGATCTAAACTCTTACAAAAGTGCGTAGAGACAGTTTTTAAAATGAACATTTTGTTATCCAATTGATCTATAAAGGCTCTAAGAGTTTGTAAATTTTTTTTTTGTTTATATCTTCACATTGTATTGCTCATTTGCCACATATGACTCTGCATACAGAGAGGTTTTAAGTGAAGATTGTTTTCTCTGAAAAGACTCCTTGCACCTAATAAAAGGCGTGAAGTGGACTATAAAATTGCCAATACAACACATGCATGAACTTAAGGAGGAAAAGTGTGCAAGAAAAGGCAAAAATCCCCACCATCATGTCATTCCTGGCATGAGATTGGCGAAGGAAAAACCGGTGACAAAATACTATTGCAGTAGCCATTGTCTGGTGAGGTCTGCAAAAGAATTCATCACTTCTACAGGGACAAGATGAAATAACAGTAGTAGTCCCATTAAATGATTCTTATGGAAAGATTATGATTTGCAAAGGTGAACAATGTATGTTTTACAGACATGTAGAGCATATATGAATAGATGTGAAGCAGAAACTGTCACAATAACCAAATACCCTGCAGATGCAACGTATTTAGTTGATTCTCAGTAATGCAATTACTTGTAATGGACAAACATCAGAAAGGAGAATGCCCAGAGGACTTCAGAGGACGAAACATTTACTTGACTGTATGCTAGTGTTATGATCTGCTATGTTAAGAGACAGACATTGATGGCATGGTGCAATACGAGTGTTATGATCACAATTAATGTAAATGTTACAATCACCATTTGTAATATGAGCGTTACGATCATAATATTAATGTTATAATCACCATTGACCACAATTAAGATAAATGCTATTATCAACCCACAGAAAATTTAGGTTCCCTGTGACTAATACTGCCTCCTTTCTCTGCTAGATTCCTCTCAAGCCAAGAGAACACCAGGGCCTTCGCGTATACTGTAGGAATCTAAAACTTCCTGACCAATAAAGTTGATTAGCTAGAAAGTAATTAGACTTCATTGAGGTACCATGCTCCGCACAGAGGGCTGGCATTTAGTTGAGAATCGATCATAAAACTACACCCAGTGTAGCGCTCATGTACGCAATTCTTAACTCCTATGTTCAATATTTTGGTATAGGAAACTTTTCCTGTTATTGGGGAAATTATCTTGATGCTCAGTTACAGTCTGCAACATGTACGAATGTGTAACATTGAGTGTGCATAGCATAATCGAAGAGATTACGCGGTGCTTGAATTTGTGCGTTCGTGAGCTAAAGAAGGACAAATTCTAACTATCATCTCTATTTATTCTCAAGAAGAAAAAGAAATTTTCTTAAAACTTCCAGAGAAAATTTTACCGCTAAACTAAAAAAAGGCTGAACATATTGATGTGTGCCAACTAACGACTGGTTTGTATAAGTAAGTAAGCCCACAACGCAAGAATGTGATTAAATTACAAATAAGATCATTAGTTTTGGACAAAACCTCTAAAATTAGTCAACCATGAAAATCTTGTTCAAGTATTTCATAAGCCAAATTTCCAATGAATGGGTGAGTGGGCCTGCATGCAAGAATGAGCACACATATCGGCACAAGCATCCATCACCTGGGATCCTTACAATGGTTGTGTTTTGTCATACGCTGCCATTTCTTACGTAAGTATCTTTGTGTCATGCCCAAGCGAACTTGTAATTAATCAAGATCAAGCTAGATGAAGATGGTATCATGAAAATGCCATGCCATGCAATATAAACCATCTAACTGCATAACGAAATCTTATCGAGTACTTGATAATTTAATACACCAAGATGCTGTTTTAATTACGATTTAAATGATTCCAAATAACACCAAAACAAGGGCAGTACTTGTCATGGAACAAAAAGAAAACCCAACAGTGGAATAATTTGACAATGTATGTATCCTAGTTCTCAGTGAAGAACAAAGAACAACAGAACTTACACTTTAAGGCGCCTTCCCAATTCTTGCAAAAACCTGCTATATGATTTCCGTAGGCGTTCCTCTTTCTCCAGGGAAATGCCATCCCTTCTGGAGGGAGATTTTTCTTCAATATACTTGCGAGAGAAATACCATCCAGTTCCAAGATCACGAAGTTCTTGAGGACCCATATGCATCTTTTGCTTTGTACCATATGCCTTAATGGTGACATAGATCTCAAGGATCAACTTCCTGCGCGTACAAAGAAAGATATAATACCAAACCATCAAAAAAAAGTAAATAAATGAAGTAGCTAATTAATCAATCTGAAGCTCGAATATGAGCTCCAATTGATTGATGTTTCAAGTACCTCTTAAAACTAATCACCGAATCGCAAGACACTTGTCAAGGTGATTTTAAGAGGGTTTTTTTTTTTGCAAGATTGACCAGAAAATTTGCGATAAGCATGAACCTAACTTCATTAAAATTCAAGAAACCGCGTTAAACTGTGATGTTATAGAGAAAAATTACCCGATACCCAAATCAAATACAAGGAATTTCCAGCCTCGCAGAGAAAAACTCACAGTTGCTTCCAAGAATTCGAACCGTAAGCTTCTACGAGAAACCCAACTACGCAATTGCACCAAAAATTAAGAAACCCAATGTGATATAAAATAAGACAGGGGCATCAGTAGATGGAAAGGCTCAAATCTTTGATAAAATTCAACAAAAGATCGATGGTAAACCCTAAATGGTAACCCTAACCCTAATTTCGCAAAGAGATGAGAAGAAACTTACCGGGCGGTGATCGGAATCGGCGCGCGTGGCCTCACGAGAGAAGACGGAGCAAGAGCTGAGCGGGATTTTAAGTTTGTGGGAAGAGGGAAACATGCAATGCCTCAGTGGGTCGAAACGTGGGTCTAAATACTCATTTTGGGCCTCTTTTCGGACAAGTGGCGGCCCATAGTTCAGCCTGAGGCACGTATTAACCGAAGCCTTCCGGCCCAAGCCAAATCGAGGAAATGATGTTTTAAAAGGACTGTTTGGGTCCAGCCCAAGCCCATATTCACCGGTTTGTTATTAATATGGGAAAAATGTTTCAGCCCCCAAAAGCCAAGTGAACATGCTTCCCACCCCCAGGACTTGGTCAATGGGCGTTTTACCCCTAAAAATAAAGAATCTGTTCTCTGAGCCCCCAAAACACAAAACCCAAGACATTAAGACATGTGAAGACCATAATACCCTTCTCTCTCTTTCTTTTTTTATTAAAATATGATGGTGATTATTTTATTATTTTTGTTTTCTCTCTCTATTTATCATGATGTACCAAGAGGATAGTTGAAATGATTGATGAGGATTATTTTATTATTTTCGTTTTTATTATTTTGGTTGTTTGTATTGGGAGGTTGTTAAAGTTACGGGTTGATTGTTAAGGTTACGGGTTGGTTGTTAAGGTTAAGGGTTTGTTGTTAAGGTTATGAATCATCTCTCTCTCTCTTTCTTTTTTTATTAAAATATGATGGGGATTATTTTATTATTTTTCTTTTCTCTCTCTCTTTATCATGATGTAGCAAGAGGATAGTTGAAAATGATTGATGAGGATTATTTTATTATTTTTGTTTTTTATTATTTTGGTTGTTTGTATTGGGAGGTTGTTAAAGTTACTGGTCGATTGTTAAGGTTACGGGTTGGTTGTTAAGGTTAAGGGTTTGTTGTTAAGGTTATGAATCCTCTCTCTCTCTCTTTCTTTTTTTATTAAAATATGATGGGGGTTATTTTATTATTTTTAGGTTGTTAAAGTTACGGGTTGATTGTTAAGGTTACGGGTTGGTTGTTAAGGTTAATGGTTTGTTGTTAAGGTTGTGAATCCTCTCTTTCTCTTTCTTTTTTTTATTAAAATATGATGGGGATTATTTTATTATTTTTGTTTTCTCTCTCTCTTTATCATGATGTACCAAGAGGATCTTTAGATAGGTAACCCTAACAATTAAACCCGTAACCTTAACAATTAAACCCGTAACCTTAACAATAAATCCGTAACCTACACAACAAATCCACAACCTTAACAACAAACCCTTAACCTTAACAACCAACCCGTAACCTTAACAATCAACCCGTAACTTTAACAACCTCCCAATACAAACAACCAAAATAATAAAAAACGAAAATAATAAAATAATCCTCATCAATCATTTCAACTATCCTCTTGGTACATCATGATAAAGAGAGAGAGAAAACAAAAATAATAAAATAATCCCCATCATATTTTAATAAAAAAAGAAAGAGAGAGAGAGAGGATTCATAACCTTAACAACAAACCCTTAACCTTAACAACCAACCCGTAACCTTAACAATCAACCCGTAACTTTAACAACCTCCCAATACAAACAACCAAAATAATAAAAAACAAAAATAATAAAATAATCCTCATCAATCATTTCAACTATCCTCTTGGTACATCATGATAAAGAGAGAGAGAAAACAAAAATAATAAAATAATCCCCATCATATTTTAATAAAAAAAGAAAGAGAGAGAGAGAGGATTCATAACCTTAACAACAAACCCTTAACCTTAACAACCAACCCGTAACCTTAACAATCAACCCGTAACTTTAACAACCTCCCAATACAAACAACCAAAATAATAAAAAACGAAAATAATAAAATAATCCTTATCAATCATTTCAACTATCCTCTTGGTACATCATGATAAAGAGAGAGAGAAAAGAAAAATAATAAAATAATTCTCATCATATTTTAATAAAAAGAGAGAGAGAGAGAGAGAGAGAGGATTCATAACCTTAACAACAAACCCTTAACATTAACAACCAACCCGTAACCTTAACAATCAACCCGTAACTTTAACAACCTCCTAATACAAACAACGAAAATAATAAAAAACGAAAATAATAAAATAATCCTCATCAATCATTTCAACTATCCTCTTGGTACATCATGATAAAGAGAGAGAGAGAGAGAGAGAGAAATAATAAAATAATCCTCATCATATTTTAATAAAAAAAGAAAGAGAGAGAGAATGGTATTATGGTCTTCACATGTTTTAATGTCTTGGGTTTTGTGTTTTGGGGGCTCAGAGAACAAAATCTTTATTTTTAGGGGTAAAACACCCATTGACCAAGTCTTGGGGGTGGGAAGCACGTTCACTTGGCTTTTGGGGGCTGGAAGCATTTTCCCCTATTAATATTTACAATGCCCGTACCTGAAACGGCGTGGATGTCAATTGTCAAGTAAAACCATTGTTGCTAACTATATGTGCTCATTGCTTAGCCCAATTTGCTCTCAGATACAAATCTACCTTTCTCTTAGACCTTCCAGGGAGTCCGGACTGTATCTGTAATCAAATTATCTATGAGGCAATTTAATTGAGACCATCTTTTGGACTCACTTTCTCCCCCCAAAAAAGTAAAACCATTGTCATTGTTAATCATGGAAAGTTTGGAAAGTGGGAAATAATAAAGTTAATCAATTAACACCTTTTTAATTTATAATCCACAATTAATAAAGATGTAAAATTATATTTCTTCACTTTCATGCTACCCCTTATAAATCACTAAACCAAACGATGAATAAAATGAGAAAGCTATGTTCCTTTCACCTTTTTACATATTTATGCTCATTGGTGTAAACCATAGCTAAATAGTAGAGAAAGCTAAATCGGTGAAATTAAGACAATTAAGTCCGTGCAAATTAATGGGTAATTGAGAGCTAAATGAGTAACGCTACCATGAATTCTTGTATTTTGGCAAACAAGTTTGATGACTTTTTTTTAAATCGATCTTATGGTAGAAAGCTTAGAGATTGGTTCTATGGCTACAGAATGTTTTTAATTAGAAGGCAAGCATATTTTTTTGGACAACTCTGCTAGATATCTTAGATTTTTTTATTTTTTTTATTTTTAGTTTCATTGTTAGGAATTTAAAAACTAATTATGAGCGAAGTTGGGCGAACTAAATAATTAATAGAAGTGAAGTGAGAAAAAAAAAATAAGAAAACAATTAATTACACCGACTCTAAGATAATAAGTGAATGATCGTTTGACCACTTCCTCACGGGCATTGGTTAAAAGGACCATTACTAAAATGAGATTAATAAATATTATATCATTTTTCATAAAAAGTATTTATGTTGATCCAACTAGTATTCTTAAGGGCAAAAAAGTCTGCACCCTGGCATGTCGAGCGTCTGCTTGCAGTCATTTAAGCTCAGCGGCTCAGGGATATTTAAAAGTTTGTTTCTTGCATCTTAGGGGCTGTTTGGTTGTATGTTTTTACCATGTAAAAGGATGGAAAGTGTAAAAAAGTGGGTCCCAATTGTTGTGGGTCCAGCCCACTTTGTGGCAAATATTAATTTGCAAGCCCAAAACTTACTTATTGGTTGTGGCCCATTCTATGAGTAAGGTTTGTAGCTTCTTGGAGAAGCTTTGAGAGAGGGCCAGCTGTATCCCAATAAGTCAGAAGAGGGCTGTTGGGGACTGATCATCTTCCACACAGAAGAAAAAGAGAAAAAAATCAGAGGGTTTGTTGAGAGGGGCTGCTCCTGTTCGGATTCTCAGGACCAGTCTTAATCAATTCGTCTGATCAAGGTGCAAACATGGTCCGATTTTGCTGAAACTTGGTCAGCTTGTTGGGGACACATAGGGCTTCAATCTGAACGGTTGGATCGTCGATGTGAGCTCCGGATCGTCGCGTATTGCAGCTGGACAGAACCTCTGTGTTTTGGTGATATTTCTCACTTTTGTTCCTCAAATGATGAATCTCTTATGTATGTTCCTGTTGGTGGGTTGTGAAACTTTGTGAGACTGATTTGGGTTTCTTTTACCCTCAACTTATCATAATAAGAGAAGAAGTGGTGGACTCCTCCAGTCCCGTGGTTTTTACTCTTCACATTGAAGAGGTTTTCCACGTATAAATCGTGTGTTCTTTGCATGCTTTTATTTCTCTGCCTATTTCGTAATGCTTGGTGAAAGTTATCGGATGTAACTTGGGTTTTGAAGATTGGTTGTCTTGTGTTGATCTTGTGGGTGTTGGTGTAATTGTTTACTACCCCTCTTGCGGCCCTACAAGGTCAGCTTTCATTAGTTTCAATTGTTTGTTTGTAGTTGTGAAAATAGTGTAAAGTGATTTCATATGCTGATGTGGCTTGTAAAGTGATTTCATAAAAAAAAGACATGATTTTAGGAGAAAGCTGACATTGAAGTCAGGAAAAAATAATAAAAAATAATTCCAACCAATATGATCATTTGAGTAGGGACCACTTTTTACATTTTCCAAACAAACAATTAAAGTTTTATTTTGCAAACCAAACAATTAGTGTTTTATGATTCCAATGGAATAAAAAACAAACAAAGAAAAGTATAAAAGTGAAATTGATGAGGTGGACAACAATTTTTTAAGTTGTGTCATAAATACACAACTTTACCAACAACAACCAAACAGCCCCTTAAGAATAACGCAACGCGTTAGCCACATAGATCAACTTTACTCTGTGCAACACATTCATATAATTGGGATCCGAGTCATTTTGTTGCATTTATTAGAGTTGTGCGTTGCTTTATTTATAACTAAGAACTTTGATTTTTTAATGATCAGAGGATGATAAAAGGAAATTAAAGCCGGTAAAAGAGTAGGCTCCTCTAGAAATATAGAGATATTTCTAATGAAAATTCTTCCACCGGCCTTCTCAATGAGAGACAGGTGAGCGGTACGGATTCATTGGTCTACAGATTGAAGGTGGAAAGCT